TCTTACACTACCAGGTTTGATCTGAGCTAAACAGAATGAAAGTCAATCAAAAGAGATCAATATAATATGATAAATCTCATTAATAATCATCATTATCACACAATGAAATCAAAGCAAAAGGGATACTTACAGAGGTGATGGTGAAAGAAGCATACACTGTCTCCACTGTGACTGACGGAGGACTGATGAATTTCTGGCTGTTATATTGGGTAGACAGCTCATTGGGTGTGGTAGTAAAATTGGGTGTGGATAATTAATGCATTTTTGCAATTGATAAAGTAAGTATACCCTGTTGGAAATGGGGACAAAAGATGGTGTGGTTACCTGACGTCAGGTGATGGGGGAACATTTAGTCCAATTTTGCATTTTTTAATCGTAATACAATTTCTCATTCTCAAACTGGATATCTATACTGAGGAACCAGAAAAATAAATATTCTTTTACAAAATAATTCAACAGCATGTTAATTATTTTTGAATAGTTTGATGAGTTAATTTTGACACTAAAGTTATAATGGATCATTATGAGAGGAGGGATGATTTAAATGTGACATAAATGACAAACTGAAACCGGGGACATGGTCAGTCTGTTAGTTTAAATAGTTTGAGAATCAACAAATCTCAGACGGCTAAAGTATCATGAATAGATCTTACTGACATAATAAACTGAAACATGAGACAGAGGTAAAACAAAGAAATCAAAAACTGTTGAGCTCAGTTCATTTAAAGATCAAGCTTGAACTCATTGATGACCAATAAAGTGACATAAAGTTTGAACACGTTTCTTTTAAAGCAACGTTTTTACGTAATTGTCTCAAATCCTATTTTTCTTTAAGCTAACTTCGACTCCAGTCCAGAACAATAAGTCCACCCCCCGGTTGTTAGAGACCTCCTGAAATCATAACGTCACCACAATATGATGCAATTTACGTTAAAGTAAAACAACTGTTAAACACAGACCCACAATAAATGAACAGAACAAGGCCAGAATAAGTGGAGAAGAGCAACAGCAGCATCATCATCATCTGAGGCATGTTTAATTACACAGTGTAAAACTAATCCAGTAAGAACACACCCACTCTTTTTAAAGGTTAACTTGGATAACAAAAGAAACAATAATTTACATATAAGAAGTATCATCACAAAAGGCATGTCGTAAAAACACACACCCAACTGGGTTAGAAACACTTACCTATCATCGTGTTGTCATTCCTCCGTGTTCACAAATTGTGCAGAACTGATGATTAACATTGCATCATAATTAGCTCAAGCAGAGCAAATTTAAGTTCAAACGGGAGCTACTATTTGAGTGCAAGGGCAGGGTTTTGATGAAAAGTAATACCCAATCTGAAAATAAACTCAAAGTCATGCTCTCGATCTGAAAGATCATGCTCTTGAATAAAGATAGGATAAAAATTCCATACGAAATGCACCAATCTCACATTATTAAAGAAAGTGAAAAAAAATCCTGGGTCTGTTCAATGTGTTATGGGTTCTTCCCTGACCCATACCACTACTTCCACTGAGTTTCACGATAATCCAAAGAGTATCCAGCGTTATCCAGCCAATTGACACAGCGACAGACCCAACCAACCAACCAACCAGCCATTCAATCAACCAACCAACCAACCAACCAATTAATGATTTCTCTGTTTTCTCTGTGCTTTTGTCACTGGTGCTTGGATGGAAAAAATGCTAGGAACTATTTAATTATAAGTGTCCCAAGTTAATGGAAAAAAACCAAACAAAACAGATGCTTTAAAAAGACTTTACTGGAACATTACCAGACTACGCTCCCTCCGTCAGAGCTCCTCCCTCTTTCTCCTGCTTCAGAGCACAGTCACACACATGTGCAGTGAAAAGAAAGAGAAATCATCATTAATCTTTGCACTTTCAGATCAAACAATCTTCCAACATGTTGGTTCAGGAGAACTTAGTGGACTCAGTTGAATTTGTTTGAGGTGCTTTCTCGGATGGGACTCATAAAGACATTGAAAAATCCAAGGCACTCTATGTTTTTTATTCCAGTGTTTCTATGATCATGCCATGGTCGTCACATTAAATAACCTTAAATCATAACTTATTTTGATATCGTCTATACTGCCTCTATCTCAATTCCTGGTAAATACATGTTCACTTTTGATTTATCTTTATATTTTTTATCTCATTTCATCAGGATGAATGAGAACTTACTTGAATTTGTGTTTGGATGGGATGTGTGCAGACAAAAAAATCTACTACTAATTTAATATTATCTGGACTCTCTCTATCTCAGTTCCATGTATAAACATACTTTTACATTATTTATTGTATTTTTATATTTTTTTATTATTTATTATATTTAATCAAACAATCAACCAATGTGATTCAGTAAAAAGTGAATTGTAATTAATAATTAATTAAACATTTATAATTTGGGAGTGTACGTATTTCTTCACAACTTTTTGTGTAACCCCCCTGAAATCTCCTTCCCTTTATCCCCCTCACATCCCTCGCCAGCTTCATCTACATGTTGCATGAATATTTAGCACTTGTGGTTTACAGAGGAAAGTATATCATGCGTGCAGTGGGTAGGAAAATAAACATGCCATTCTTTCGAGGGTGTGATTTTAAACATACCTGTGCAGAGGTATAATTTAGAGCATTCCTTCTTCTAATGAAGATGATGGTAAATTAAGCTGGAACTGCCCCGCCTTGTCATTAAATCGTACAGAGCGTGACATCAGAGTGAGAGCAGTAGTGAGCAAGATGATGAACAATAATAGAATGTACTCAAATTTTTCAGAGTAATGGCAGTTCCAGTAGTACAGCTTCTACAGTGAAGTAATACGCTGACTTGAAGAAAAAATCTTTGGTATTTTCTAAGAACACCAGACACAGTAATTAGGCCGGGGCACGGCCGTCAGCTGTGGAACCTCCAGCTGGAGCGCCACCAAAGAGCTCCGCTGAGTAAATTATGTTTTCATCTACGTTTATTTGTTAGTTAATGGGATTAGGCAAACACTCCTGGAAGGATGACCATGAAATTTGGTGGAAGAATTAACTTTGTCGCAGATCCAGATCAGAATTTTGTTTCTTTTTTCTTCACTTTCTTTAACATCGCAAGATAATTTTACATTTTGTTTGATTTCTCAGATAACTCTTGGATCTTGATGGAAAAAAATCTAAATCTAAATCCGGATCAAGTGAATCTGAATATGGTTTAATGAGGCGACTGTTGAGCCTTGGCCCTGAAAAACACTAACTGTCTCTACATGATCCCTGATAACACATTGACATTGATACCTGTCGATCTCTTAAAGACAAGCAATTCAATTGGGAAGATATTTCCACCCAGTGCATTTCCTTTCCTTGGGGAAGATGCTGAACCCCAAAAATGTAAATCACTTTGGATTGCCCGCTGAGGCAAAATGTGTTTTGTGAATTTGGGCTATACAAATAACATTTGATTTGATTTGATTTGATAAAGCTAAATGACATGCAATGTCATGTAATAACTGTTCAGAGCTGATCATTTCATGATTAATAAGAAGCAGAGTATATATCCTAGTGTGGCCCCTGTCATCCCACTGTGAGCTGTTTCAACTCTGACCACACTAACACCGGGGCTGCAATGAACTAGAACAGTACTCAGGGAGGAGCATACTACTGCCAAGCACAACAATCCCTTCATGAAACCAAATGGAAATCCAGTAGATCTGCACCAGATTGCTGAGACTCAACAGTTTTTCCATCAAGATCCCTGAATAAAATGTTGAAAAAAAAAATCCTGGATCCAAAATCGAATCAGTTCTTCCTTGGGTCATGCCCCGCCCCTCCACATAATTTTATAGAAACTGGATGAGTAGTTTTTGTGTAATCCTGCACTGACCAACAAATGAAGAAACACAGACTAAAACACAACCTCTTCGACGGAGGTAAACATGTACTTGATAGAGGTAATGAGGACACTGACTGCAGGTATGGACCCTAATGACTGGAACAGAAATATATGAATGGAATTCCAAAAGAGACAGAGTATCTGCATGCTGAACAGAGTTAGAACTTTTATGTCGACAGAAACTACAAACACCAGAAGCGTATTCAGGTACACACATGAATTGTAGATGTGGAGTTCCACAGTGCAGATCGAACTCGAACATTAGAGCCTGTTTAGATGTCATGTGTTCGTCCAGTCTCGTGCCAAGATCTTTCTTCTCATTAGCAAATCATATCAAGTTTATCTACAAAGCCTATTTAAAAAATGACCAGAGTGGAGCAGAGCGCTCTACAATATAATAAAATCAGAATAAGAGGAGATAATGACAAAATCAAAGAATTAGCAATTCTTATTATAATATAATTAATGATATTGACCGACATGACAATCTTTTACATTTTGTTGTGCCATCCAAATGTTACCTTTTTTATACCCTATATAGTGCACCCATAGTTTACTTACCATACTGTAAATTGCTGTACGTAATGATTTTTTTAAAAACCTCACTATTAATAACCACAGCATAAATGAAAAACAGTGTTGCAGCTTTTAGGGCCAGTCACAACAATTGCAGCTCTGGCGGAAGACTAAATTAGCGGGGCAGTTTTGGATCCACGTGATGCCGTTGGCACAACTGTAAAAAGAACTTGGGGAATCATGTTTGGCATAAATCCCTCCCGCCTTTGCAGCACAGAAGTTGCTGTCTGGAGTTTTGGGTGATGTGGGGATCACTGGTGTGGGATGAGATGTTACGTATGGAGGATTTTTGGTTGGAATGACTTGAGTCGGAGGCGTTTCTGTGGTGGGGAGGGGAGGAAGATCTGCAGAAATAACAATGTCATTCGTCGTAAGCTGGTCTTGGAAATTATTGTTGATGCACATGAAAGGAAATATTTTAGCTTTTAATTTTTTACGTTTACCTAAAGCCAAAAGAGAACGAAGATAATTGATGAGGGCGTAGTTTCCTTGTTGACAGTACTGTCCTTGGAAGTCGTCCAGATCCAGAGCCCAGACAAAGGCTCCTCCAAACCGGTTGTCTTTTAGGTAACGAACCTAAATAAGTAAAAACAAAAACATTCAAGAATAAAAAATCTGTTCAAACATTGTCTGTAACGTGACCTTGAAAAAGACAACTACCTTAGTCTCAAAACTTTCTTTGTTGTCATATCCGACCCACTCATTGTTTTTGGTGGCATAGGGAACTTTCTGATCCTCAATCAACTGGACACTGGCCCCTTGAAGAAAAGTGCAAATCTGAAAAGAGAGTTAAATTCTAAATACTTACTTTTACTAACAAAATATAGACTGAGAGTTAAATTCAATGAATAAAAAATCTAACAGTTGCACCTCATAATAGGACCAGAAGCCAGCCTCCCTCGTGAAAGCACCTGCAGCCGCGGGACCACTGATTGGTGCTCCGACCGCACTGGACTGAGTCGACAGTCTGAATGTTCGCCCATATGTGGCAAATCCCATATTGAGCTTTTCCACAGGTGTTCCCTTGTCCCGCCAGTATTTCATGGCAAAGTCCTGTAATGTAAATGAAAAGAGGCAAAAGTTTTCATCCAAATATCAGCTTTTTAATTTAGCTGTAAAAAGTGATTAACCAAAATGTTGGAGAAACATTTCGACTCGTGTGATTAAAGAAAGTCGTTGGACTGTAAAGAGTTAACGTTGAATAGAAGATAGAGTCTTGGCCGCTATATTCACTCTCACAAAATATTGACTGTTGCCCTCAGAAGCTAATGTGTTGACACTGATATCCAGTGGGTTCTGAGACCTGCTATCCTTAATCTCTCCAGGTGAGCAGAAACCTTAAGTCACATGCGTCATGAACATTATTATTATTATTATTTTGCTAAAACTTTTCCATTTTGAGTTAATCAATGCACCAACTTTTCCACCGACTAGACACACTTTTTTTTCTTGCAATATATAAAATTACTCAGTGTTTTTTAATACACAAATTGACGATACAAATAAAAACAGACAGATGTAAAAACCTACTCAGATAATAATAATAATAAATAAATGTTTGAATCCCTGTACTCACAGTATTCAAGTAAACATGTTCCCCGGTGTCATGGGATCCTTTGTACAACGGGCTGTGATGTCCCGTCACACTTTCCCAGGTGCCGTGAAAATCGTAGGTCATCACATTGATAAAATCCAGGTACCTGATGAAATGCAAGTGAGATTCACTCAAACACGATGACAGCTGATCATGGGAACAATGTGCAGAGGAACATTTTGCTGTACTTTGCCAACTCTGCAATTTCATAGCCAGCATCGATGGTTCCTTTCCCAGCAGGCACAGCAGCAGAGATAATTAATCTGGGTTTGCCAGTCGCTGTCCTCTCGGCCTCGTAGGCCTCCAGGAGTTCCTGAACACAAGCCACCAGTTGTCATGGTCACGGCATGTTTCATGTGAAACATCAGCTGAACATCTGCACAGTAATTCTGGATCTGACCTTGCATAACACAGTGAATCTCTGCCGGTCCTCCAGTGGACTTCCTCTGGCAGCAGGGTATTCCCAGTCCAGGTCCAATCCATCAAAACCATGTTTTCTCAATAGTTTGATAGAAGACTGGATGAATGTATTTCTGTTTGCTTCAGTTGACACCATCGTAGTGAATCTGGGCAGCAGTTTGGAGACAGAACGGTGAAGAAGACATAATACAACATATTGATCGTCATTGATTTGTTCAATGCCAATTATCTCACTTTCGTGTTCCAAAGGTCCAGCCACCAACTGCCAACAGTGTTTTAAGATTTGGATTCCTGTGGGAATATGAACATTTATTTAGAAGCAATATTTACTGGACAACAGATAATGTCAGAAGACTTTTGACTGACCTCTGTTTGAGTCCATTAAATGATTTATAGAGTTCCTCATCATTCCATTCTATGGTGACCAACTCATTTGCATCATTAATACCAGAAAAGGCGTAGATCAGGTGGGTGCACAGGTTTGGATCAACGTCCGACGGCATAAACTTCCCATTGCCAGGTCTGTACTGGGACCAGTTAGTGAAATAACACACCAGTCTGGCAGATGACACTAAACATGTAAGAAAGAAATTCATTCTTCATTATTTCATTAAGAATAATTCATAATTCAAAACTATACGCACCACTATTCAATGTCAATAGTTGCTACTGATTAACTCACCCAAACTGCCAAGTGAAAGACAGAGACCTGTGAAAGAGTTAGTCCATTAATACTGCGCAAAAAAGACGAGAAAATAATTTGAGAAAACAATCTCGTAGACTTCTATCGCGACTTACCTGCAAGTAGAATCAGCTTGTTCATGGTGAACGAGCTTGGCCGACCTCTCACAGTCAAATGTGAACTCTGACTGAATTTGTTTTGCTGGTGAAAAAACACACCCGCCATGATAATCATTAACCACAAACACATTGTGTCACAAAAGAAAGGTTTAGTACACAAACCTCCTGCGTCCTCCAGGGCAGTCAAATAACAGATAGTTTGGCCTTTAACCTCCCAAAGAAAAACGTATCAACCTTACTGCTTGTGGTTACCCCCTTCAAGTAAAGAAACAGAAGAAATAAATCGACATTCAGAGTCATGAAGAATATGGTAGAAATAAATATTTCTTTATTTACATTAGGGCTTAACTATGTTAGGAGTCAAATCAACAAAAGCTGTTACAGAAGGATTTATATTCTTTATCTGTGAGTGAAATACGAGCAACGTCAGGCACTCGGGCGGTGTGCTCCTGTTTGCCAGATCTGGGACACAGATACGTCAAAGCAATACTACAGGTGGCCCAAATTAGTTTTATCACATGTGCCACTTTAGGTTCACCTCCAGATCACACCTTGCCTTGAGCATTGCATGTTTCCCAGAAAAGGCTCACATCCATTTTGTTGGGGCAACGGAAAAGCCAGAAGTGCCGCACCATTGCCTGAAGTGGCCCATTTCTGTATGCTATCTGGGAAGGGAAACAATCAGCTTCAAAATAAAAGTAACACAAATCTCCTTAGTACTAATTATTTGAATAAGTGGCAGACTCAGGAAAGCTGCTGTAACAGTAGTTAAGTGGGTCCTTGCAACTGCTTTTATCAACATGATAAACTGATCCACTTCTGTCTCTTTCCATGTGCAGCCAATGTCGCTCCATAATTCACCATGTGCAGAAACAGGATCTTCTTATTTACAAAAGAAAAAGTAAAGCTTCCTTTTCACCAGATGATTAAGCATCTCTCAAGAATCATTGTCTCAACTTTCCACTGTTTTCTTCTTCTGATACATGAGGGCAAAGAGGGTGGAACAGCTCCGGTCTCCCGCTGTTCACATCTGCAGACAAACCACGAGCACCAGCAGTTCCTCCGGGTTCTTAGTTCACGGTGTTTCATGGAGAAGTTGCAGGACAAACAGTCGGGATGAATGTAGAAAGGATGATGTGTTTCATGCCAGGGAGTAGATGGTGTTCATCGGGGAGTGAAGCTCAATGCCTCCACCGAAGTCCAGCTCCCGTACGTCTCTCCTGGTTCCTGTGTACTGGCCGATGAAGGAGCCGTCCTCATTGAATGGTATCTCTCCTCCTTCTCCGTAGTCCACCAGACTGTCGTCACTTTCTGATGGCTTCATCATTGTCTCTATAGACAGCTGGCCTCTCTGAAGCCCTCTTTCTTCCTCCCTACAAAATAATGCAAAAATATAAAAGCTTGTTGTCAGAGGTGCATTTTGACTGTGCAGGAAGACAGAAAAGATGCTTATGATCTTTTATTTCCTCCTTATCATTCAGTTTTACTTGGAACTGCTTAACAATAAACATCTACCTACCTCCGAGGGTAGGGCAGAGTGGAGACACGAGCAATTCTAAAATACAAAAGATTGTTGTAAGATACGATGGATCACACTTCATTCATCATAAATTCACAATATGATGAAAGCATAAGTAATATTTAATATTTAATCTGCTATTTACAAAGGCTGCATCATCTATTTAGCATCTGTACAGTTGAGCCGTCAGTCGTGTCAAGATTTAGTCTTTTCATACCTTTCAAGAGACCTTGAGTGGTTCAGTGCGAAAAGAACAGTGTGGACGTGTTTTGAGGAGTTGAGGGGTTTAGGTAGAAAAGGTAAATACACAAACACACACAGAAAAAAAAAACAGAAATTCATGTAAGTATGATCAAAGAGTTATCATAAATAAGGCCATAAATACTGTTAATGGGTTTTTACCCATGCAGCTGAAACTTCATCACCATTAAAGGTATCCTGTGGAGGTTTTGACCAGTAGTAGCTTTATGGAACAATTTTGAAGTGTTTCGGTACGTAACACCACATATAAACATATAAATGTATTTTGATTGTATCTGATAACTCCACAGAACAGCTTTAATTCACCAGGTAATTGATGCAAACATACAAATGTGTATTTGTTCACAAGAACATCATTTGCCACATTTTTAAAACTGATATTAGGAACTTATAACTTGAAAACAAAATTACGATTTCAGATAACATGTGTATAATTGGTTCCTTCTTTCGTTTATTTTCCACCAGCTCTTTCCTGTACTTCTTACCGATAATCAAATGATCCCTCTTGGTCTTTGTCATCCACCGGCTCCAGTGAAATGTCCTTCTTTTCTCGTACTGAAATGGTGATATTGGTGATTATGTTCATTTTTGGAAATGCAGAATATTTTCATTCTTGAGAAACTGGAATAATAATCTAAAACTAACCCTAACCCTACCACCCTGAGGTTTTAAGCCTCTGCCAACCAGTGTCATTTCACTCTACATAATTTCTTCCCGGACTCATTTGGGCTCACTGAACTCGAATCATTTAATCTTAAAGTCCACGAGACAATTGGCCAAAATCTAAATAATCATTAACTTCCTTTATGAAATATTATATTCAATAAGCCAGAAACATGTTTTGTGAGGCCACTGTGACCTTTGAGCATTCAAATCTTATCAGCTAATACATGAGTCAAAGTGAAAGTTTGGGTCATATTTGAAAGGATTATCTCGAGGCGATCTTCAGATAACATGTTCCCGAGAGTTTTGTGAGCTCAATCGACTAGTTGATTAAGCAACTTATCTTTTGCACTTCCAGCCACGAACCACCAACGTACCTGGATATTTCCCCCCTCGGCTCCTCTTGATGAAGCAGACTATGAGAAGTATGAGCACGATGAGAGCCACAGCGCACATTGTCCCGATGAACCAGCCCTGAGTGGTGATGTCCACCTGGTCCTGAGCATACGCTGAGACACACAAGTAAACATATCAATATACCCGTCAGCAAAATCAACATCGTTTCGTTCACTTGGTAGAAAATGACTCGTGGAGTAAATTACTTTCAGTGGTGTAGTGGGGTGACTCCTCCATGTGCCATTCCCCTATTCCGAGCTGAGTTCTTGCCGCCACAGAGAACCTGTATCGAGTGTAGCGGTCGTATCGGCGGACTGAGAAGCTTGTTACGTTTGGAGGGAACTCCTCAACTCGCAGCTCCTCTCCCCTGGTGGCATTCACTGGTGCAAGAATAGAAGTTTGCTACTGTGAGCTGGGAGAACACTTGATGCTGCTCGAGTGAACACAACTGAGCCATTAAGTACCTCACCTGCTCAGTGCAGTGCATACACAAGCGTTCATTACCCTCTGGAGAACACACTTCAATGGTACTTTGGTCTCTGAGTGCATATTTAACTGTGCTATTATGTGTAATACTTAGGTTTCATGAGAAAAACTTTGCCAGCTTTAATAGAATAAACTATTTCCTTTTCTGTGCTGTGTGAGGAAGACTGCAGAACTCTTCATTAAAGTCTACGAGGACGGTAAAATCCCTGGAGGTATTTGAGTGTGTTCCAGGTGTTGGGTTGGTGTACCTGTCTGGTACTTGAGGGAATACCCAGTGATGACACCGTTGGGTTCTGCTGGCAGGTCCCAGTCGACGTAAATACTGTCCAGATGTCGCTGTTGGATCCTGAAGGAACTGGGAGCAGATGGTACTACAGACAAAAACACAGCAGGAGATGATTAACGTGAGATGTGGAAATAAACATTATTCACCTTCATTCAGGGGTATGTTTGTTCCTTGATCGAGGGTGTAAAGAAACGTTAGATACGGAAACGGATGCAGCCTTCTGCCTGTCTCCTTTGTTTTTGTGCACGTCCTCTGAAAGCTCACGGATATGGACGAAAAAGACAAAACAGAGCTGTAATACGAAGACGACCATAGAACAAGAAGAAGAAATTCATTAGTAGAAGGAAGTCATCGTCCACATTTCACAACGAATTTAATGGCGTCACAGACAAACAGCCGTTAATGATGCTGCCACTTATTTGCCTATTTCCTAAGTGGTTGTATACGACTCTTGACTCTTGTGACACTTCTCTAAGGCTGCCGGCTGCAGTTTAAGTCTTCTTCTTTACATATATTTATAGTTAAATGAAAAGCCCACAATTTAATTTAATATAATTCATGTTTTTATGGTAGCACTTGACTATATCACAAACTATTCTTACCTCCTTCTGGTGTTGAGAAGTGTATATTATTACTGGGTGGCCCTTCAAAGCGATTGTTTGCCACCACTATGAACATCTTGTAGTTGCTGTAGGGGAAGAGTCCGGTGACGACCCCCGAAGGCTCTGGATCATTGTCTGGAAACGCTTTAGACTTCATCGCCCTGTTCACTCGCAGCCACCTCAGCTGGCTGCTGTCCCTCCAGTAGTAAACCTGAGAGGTCACAATCATCACACTCAGTATTTATCAAGGACTGGATCGTTCCTCTTCACATTTGTTCTAGAAAAGTTTGAATTCCTGCACACTGGCAGTAATAACATGAAGTCAGAAACACAATTATAGCATATTCATACTAAAACCACAATCTATACCAATGCCACTTGGAAAAACGTAACGTTGTAATCATAGACTGTTTGTAGATGTTTGAGGTCCCACAGATAAATGTCCTCGACCAGTCGCGATCTCTGTCGATCATGACTTAACATCCTGTTTTTATAGAATCACATGACTTTAAACCAAAATGTTCAGAAACATGAACACTTAAACAAACATAAGCTACAATATGACAGAAAACCATGTCTGGACAAGATGGATGACAAAACGTGTGGATTGTTGGTTGGCTGGAGTAAAGGTCATAAACCACACTTCCTCCGTGTTAGTGGATGGGATATTGACCAAAATATATATTTCTTATTATTTATATTTATTTTTGTACAAAGGGAGAAAGTGGAGAAGAGTCATTTTATACTTTATATACAGTCTAAGCCTTGTTAAACTCTACATGATTGAACTCTGTAGTGTATCGAACAGTTTATGTATCAGCAATCATCCAAGGAAGCACAGTA